GATCTAAACAACCCCTGTGCAGACTACACAAGCTTTTCTCTTTAAAGCAAAAATCAGACGGGAATGTAAAAAAACCTTTATTTGTAAAACCGTGCTGACCATTGTTTGAGGACTAAAACAAAGCCGTGCACCAAATAACATGTTTGGATTCAGAATTCTGAAATTTTTGAAAGTATGATTCTTTCATCCATAAAAAACAGAAAAGAAAAGAAAAGCCTCTGCAGGACTTGGCAGAAGCAGTAAATCAGAACCACTTTGAGCTTTCCAACCTGCCACATGTCTGTCTCAGTGTCCAGGAGGATATGAGTGAGAGATAAGTTTTTTCTTTTTTTTTTTCCACAGGATTGTGTCAGGAAATCTGCTCAGGCCACATGTATTCCTTAAGAGAAGATAAGATGGTTTCTAACGGGGCTTTGGAGAATTTATAGACATCTTAAAGCGCCTTAGCTGGAGCTGAAGTCCTCGGTTGGAGGACTAATGGAGTCAAAGCAGGCTTGATCTGTCTCTCAGCTCACCTAATAACCCTGTCATTAGGCTGAAGACTGTTAAGGCTTGGCTATCCCTGCTGTTGTTTGCATTTGTTTGTTCTTTCTGGGACAGAYCGGAGGATGAGGTCACCCCCCTCCTTGTCCTCGTTGCTCTAATTGGTTCAGATCTCCGACATCTGGAGGTAGTGAGGTTAATGCGACGTGATGCGCATTTATCTGCCTATACGTTCAAGGAAAAGCATATTCTGAGAGCAAACACACGAGGACCCAGATGGCTTTCATCTCCACCTGCTTTCCTCTTTCTTCACACAACTTCCGAGACGRTAAAATCAAAACGGGGGATTTTTGAAATCATGCTGGGGAATAAGGTGTCGCGTGAGAACAGGTTGCAAGAAGCATCGCTGCTGCAGGAGGATGCTGGTTTGGGCTGTTTAATTCTCACGACGGAATGTTTTAAAGTAGGAAATGCAGAGGCAAATCCCACATACACAAAAGTTAAATCCTGGTGTATTTGTTTGTCCTGTTACTACAGAGCGCAGCAGACAACACACTGACGTATGGCTGTCTACAGTATCAGTGTGAGTCCTGCTGCGGGGCTTTRCTTTTACTGTCTGGCTTTTATGCATGAGCTGAGTGCTGTTTATGTCATCTGTTTAGGTTCCAGAGGCTCAGGGTCTTAACAGGGTTCAGTTGGTGTAATTGCCGTGCGGATGTGTAGGAAAAGTRGAGCACTCCCCTCAGCGTGTCCTGTTTACCCCCACTTGGCTCTTGTGAGACGATACAGAGGGCCGACGTGTGGCTTGGTTGCCTTCRTGAAGAATAAGGGATGAAACAAATGAGTTTGTGCACACCGAGGTGTGTGAAATCTAGTTGTATTGTCTTGCTTTAGATACTTTTTTTTGTTTTTAAATCCGTTTTTCTTGACTCGACCCAAGTTTGGTTTGTTAACCTATTTCAGTCAGAGTTACAGGGGTTAGACAATGAACCTGAAACACCTGCCATGTTAGTGTGGGAGGTTTCAGGGCTAAATTGGACCAGCCTGGTGGCCAGTCTTCGTTAACTGCACATTGCACCAGTAAGAGCAGAGTGTGAAGGCTCAATTAGCAGGGTAAGAGCTCAGTTTTGCTCAAAATATTTCAGTGCACACAACATTACCTATACCATGTGTTTTGACCCCCCTCCCCTCCTTAGCTGACTGCACTGTTTGCAGAGTAGTTTTTTTGAGCGTATGTTTGTGAGTTTTCTGTATAAAACACAGGATCAAAGCTCTTTTAAACTCACCCTTCCTATGTGTGTGTATTCTAAACTGCAAAGGTAGCGCACTAAGTTGCGGAAGACCCTGGACATTCGTTCCCCCCATGTTTGTGTGTGTGTTTCTCCAGACGGATGTTCTAAACTGCAAATTTCGTTCTGCACTGCATCTTGATGTTGTGTGTGAATGACAATAAAGATTCTGATTCTGACATTATGGGTGACACACCAGAGTTCAAAAGAGGGCAAATTGTTGGTGCACGTCTTGCTGGTGCATCTGTGACCAAGACAGCAAGTCTTTGTGATGTATCAAGAGCCACGGTATCCAGGGTAATGTGAGCATACCACCAAGAAGGACCAACGACATCCAACAGGATTAACCGTGGATGCAAGAGGAAGCTGTCTGAAAGGGATGTTATGGTCTAAAACCAGGTGTTTCAGTTTCATTGTCTAACCTCTGTATGTATCAGTTATGAAAAAATGGTAAAATTGTGTTATTTAAAAACTGAAATTAGGTTTGTTTTTGGTAAGATAAATCGATATGTTCTCAAAAAGGTGGCATGTTGCCTCTGGGTCAGGGACACGCTTCTGTCTCAAGCAAAGGAAAGTTTGTGAAAGAACTGAACCTGAAAGTTGAAGCTCTCGATTTGCTGGTATGCCTACGTTCCAACCCTCACTTTTGCTCACGAGGTGTGAATCCTAACCTAAGCAATGAGATCCTGGATAAAAGTGGCCAACATGAACTTCCACAGGATCATGGTGCTCAGCAGGGGAGATRAGATGAGGAACTCGGTCCTCCTGGGGTGGGGTCCTCTTTGGAAGGTTTTCTGGAACGATCCTGACAAAGACCTAAAACACTCTGGAGAGATTTTACCTCCTCTCTAGCCTGGCAGTGCCTTCAGGTTCTTATGTGAAGTTGGAGAGATGCTGAGGAGAGAYTTGGTTTCGTTCCTGGAAACAGATAATGGGGGATATGATGTTATAAACAATGACGTTCTAGAAATAAACGCTAAAGCTAAAACTAATGGAGGCTTGTTTGTTCCCTCTCAGTTTAAAGTAAATTATTATGATAGTTCAGTTAACCAACCACAAAATATCCAACAGATGGATGGATGGATGGACGGATGGACGGACGGATGGATGGACAACATTAGATGCCTTGAAACATTTTTCACAATCCCATCTGTTTGAAGAGCCAAAGAAATGCTAATCAATGACTGAAGGCTAATCCATTCAMTAATAAGAGCAGAAAAAAAGCAAATACTGTAATTTTTTTGTCACAATGGTACCAAATGATTTTTTTAAGAGCAGAATAAATGACAGCATGTTTCATTCCAACACAGAGTTTAGCTGTGAGTGATATATTGTCCTAAAATATCAAGTAAGACACTTCCTTTTTTATGTTTGAGGATTTTTTTAGCTTAATTTAGACAAGTACAGTGCCACTAAGATTAGGTTTAGATTTCTTAGCAGATAAAAAACATATTTTGGACCTATTGTTAACATTGTAACACTTGAATGAAGCCATTTAAATTCAGCTCAGAGAGTTACAAACTGACAGCAAAGACAAACGTGTGCACAAAGGGCATCACTGTGACTAAAGGTCAAAGAAAACCTCTGGATGCATGCATTTTTCTTAAGTTATCTTGTGTTCATGCACTGTAAAAATGCAATTGTAAGGATTAGAAAACACACACACATACACATGCTGTATCATATATGGCAGTGTCTGACAWAGATGAGATAAGGGGCTTAGACGAAGGGGGCAGGGTTGTTTCTGGCGAAACTCTGAGTGACATGGCAGCTCTGGGCTAATCCTGCTAATCCTCTGCTAGCTCAGGGGTGCAGCGGGACTCAAGGCCTTTGACCCTGCTCCAAAAGGAGGTGTTAACACAGACACAGGCACCAAACTTATGGTGACATTCGAAAAAAAATAAACTCCCAACAACACATCCGAAACCTGCATCGCCTGCACCTCCACGTCCTTCACGAGTGAATGATCAACTTTTATAGATCCTGGAAAATCACTGYTAACGTTTGTTTATGGTGAGCTGCACGTTCTGATGGATTTAACTCTGAACTTTTTATATGGTCACAACAATGCATGACGTTACTGAGAAACAGCTGATCTGTGGCACATTGTTATTACTGTCATCTGATTCCAAAACATTTTTATATTAAAAAAGAACAACATGAATATTAACAACAGAAATKTTAACCAGACATGCTAATTGTTTTTTTTATGGTTCTGCTTATGAAATTATTTCTGACAAAGTTCATCAGTTCACTTGGATAATTGTTTTTCCAGGAAGAAAAATAATTTTAACTTTGACATATAAAGCAAAACTACTTACAACTATATAATG